TATTCTCCAACTGTCAAGAAACACCTCAGTTAATGAACGAAGATAATTTATCGATGATTTGATATTTTCTTTATTTTTCCTTCTTTGGCTTGGATCGTACTTCCACCAGGACAAGCTTCATAATTTTACAATGGTTTTTTACAAATTTCAAACTGTTTGAGAGGAAACTAAGAGAGTAAATCCTGAATGTCTTTCTTGAGGAAGGCCATTTAAATGTATTCTCCATTTCCATAGACCATTTCCATTTAAATGTATGTATAAACATCTGTTTTTCACATTTTGTTAGAACTCTAGGGAAATGCTTCCATAATTTACTTCATAAATTCATTAACTGAGATGTTTTTGTCTAGGAGACATTGTCCTTTTTTTACCCTATCAGCAAAAAGAAGGAGTTATGTTACGAAAAAAGGAAATAAGTTTCCTATTGTATCTATTAGTCAAGAATTTAAATTCATGGTCACATTATCTATTCAGATGAGTAAACCTGCCAATAATTGTGTGTATAATTAAACTGACGTTTGTGGCTGAAACAACTTACACAGGTAGAGGATTGTAAGTTTAAAAAATAACAACATGGCTTAGGATTGGGTAAGAAGTTATACCAATATTTTGTGGAAACCCTGTACAACAAATTATATAATATATTGAGACTCTCTAAAAAAAAATATAAAAAATGTTAAATAATCCACACTTTTCCCATGTTTTATGTTCAGACAGTAAAGCTATTCACAAAAAGAACACGCGACACGTAGAACATCCCTTTGTTTTAAACAGTCAGCTAATTTATGCATATCGAAGACTGCCGGATGACCTTGGAGTGTTATCAGCAGCGTTATCAGGAGGTCAAGGGAGGTCGGCAGGGGTGAGAAGAGGGTGGCATTACCATACAACCCCACACAACGACCGACACCTAGATCGGGCTACTTACAAAACACATTAAATCGTTTGTAGAGGTCCCAGGAATCCATTTAATGCAAAAGACCCGCCTTATTTTCAAGTCCTTGGTTGTGCTTTTTACCACACGAAGGGTTGGACGTATCCAGGCCATATTAGCATTGGAAATCTCTTTCATCATTATTACTAACGTAATTAGTTTTGCATAACTCTTTTACTCTGGTACTTTCTGTAGGTATTAAACGTGACCTTATTGCACTCTTTAAGGCCGTTTTTAGATAAAAATACAGTTTTGGACTCGTTATAAGATGAAAAGAAGTGAGAAGTCTTGTTTTGCAAGTTTCCTTGAATAAATATGCTTAGTATAGCTGATGTGTAGTAAAGTAGATTTAAAAATACGTAATGCTCTTCTGTGTCGTAATCCTGTTGGGAATCATGGGTAAAGTAATAAAGGCGATTTAAATTTACCACGGCAAACATACTTTTAGGAATTTAACAAAATAATTGACTCTAGAGCTACAAATTAATGAGATAAGTTATTATATTTTACACTATTGAATTTAGGAAAATTTTGGGAAGTTGTATATGCCACCCGAAAAGAAAATATGGAGTGTTTTCAATAGACTTCAATGTGTGAAGTTGGCATTCTCATTTTGTAAAATACTATAATCAAACAGTGAGCTATCGCCACGTATATTTTCAAAGGCCTCCCCTATGTTATCTTAACCTAAATTGCTTGTGCTGACAACAAAAATGAAATTATAGTTTTAAACAAGGGTGTACAAATTAATCTTACAATGTATAGCTGTATTCTCCTCCTTTGGACGTATCGTGCATAAAGTCATAAACCTCTTGTCAACTGTCCTATCAGCTGTTAGAGATACAAGTCATGACGTCACCAGTATAAGTCACACCGCAGGGTAGCCCTGTGCCCGTTTCTGACCATTTAGATGATTTAGTAGACAATGCTGTCCTATATTAGGCCTTTATCACCTAGGGCTGATGATTAACTACATTGTTCCGTGAATGCTTTAGTGGTAGCCATTGTTGTTTTGTGGGAAGTTAAAGCAAAAGATCAAGATTAGGAAAAGTGTCAAGATATTTTTTTCCGATTACAGTTCAAAATATACAAACTTTTGATTAAATGGGATTAGCATTAATCGTCTTTTTGTTCTAAAAATGAAAACTTAGTATACATTATTTTTCTAAATAAAATAAGTATAATGAATACACCTAAATAACTGAAAATACAAACATTATATAAAGCCTATCTCTTTGGTAAGAAAACTGAACACTAACAATATTTACAACCTACCTCTTGTTAATGGTAAGAAAACTAAATACTAGCAATATTTACAACCTATCGCTTGGAAACGGTAAGAAAACTAAATACTAGCAATATTTACAACCTACCACTTGGAAATGGTAAGAAAACTAAATATTAAAAATAGAAATGTTCTCTGAAAACATATGATAATATTATGCTACTAGAAAAAGTTATTTTTGCAACTAGTGAGCAAAGTGAGCAATTGCCTCACTCGAGAGAAATCCTTACTCACGAGCTGTAGGCAAGACATTCTATTTATTTTCTAATGTCTTTATGTTCCGTATTGAAATGATTTACTGTATTTTTTACACCATTGCAAGTTTAGTTTTTTTAGTACGTCGTTGTTATTGTATTCCAAAGCGTTGTTAATCCAGTAGAGCGCAGAAGCTCTGCCTTGAGGTACAGGTTCAAATCCATCTAATAATTAATAAAAACATGGGGCGTATCCCAAGGTAAATATTGAAAATTAAACTATATAATATTGCATTGTCATCCATTTGTGGGTTATGTTTCAAGTTTCAAGTCTCTAGCTCATCGGGAACTCAGTATAAAATTGATTTAAAAATTTGTACAGGACAAGAAAGCGAGCTAATAAAAACATATGAAAATATTATGATCTTAAAATATATACTGACTGTATTTGTTGAAATTTAAATTCCATTTATACTTAATTACTTGGCTATAAGTTTTCCAAAATTTCAGTCCAAATTAGGTTATTAATTTTAAAAAATATGTTTAATGGATATATGTTTAATTTAATTATAGCATACATCGATTTGCCATTTTTATAAATTGGCTTTAGCTGATCCATAATTTTCTTTAGACTTCTCTGATCCACTAGCTTCTTTAAACAGGATTAGATATAAGATCGAGATGATTTTTTTCCATATGAAATATGCATCAATTTAGAAATATAATGATACGTCAACTTCGAAAATAAAGTCAGTAGGTATGGTTTTCCAAAGTGTCACAGCTCCCATCAAAACCCCAACCTAAGTACCGTCGTCTAGCAACAATGTAACTATCAGCTGATATTGTAATGTTATGGCAGCTGTATTGTTTGTCCCTCGCTCTATCTACCGCATATTTATTAGCCTCTTCTTATCTGAATCTACCACGCCACTAGCCTCAGACGGACTTCTTACACTTTGTAACTGGACTGAGTAGAAAACAAACGTGTTTATATTTATTAATTGGATAAAGAACGTAGATGTATCGAGCTAAGTAGTAGTTTTAAATGATTGTGTAATTGTTATTTTAGCAGCGCCTTTAACATTATGTTATCTTGTTTAAAAAATCGCTTGAAAACTGTAAGGGATGCAAATAAGGGTGACACCTATGATGATATGGTACATTAAGTTGTTTTAATGTTTATTAGTACCATCTGTTAATCATATAATTGTCATTTTAATTAAGATTTTCTTTTACATTTACTTTTCAAATTAAGGCTAACTGCAGGTTGGGTGAAATCTAGTTGACGACACTTTATGAAATAAATTGTTTCAATAAAATACCGTACGTATTCATTGTTTCTATACAAATATAATTTATTTGTTTTTTAGTTACAAATAAACACACCAGCAAAATTCCGTTTATATGTACATTTGATATAAATTGGTATATAGTCTGTTTTTTGTTTATTGTTTTAATAATTAGGATGATATTTTATATTCACAGCAAAGTATTTTTATATTTACTTACCATGACTCAAACACTTACGCATTACGTGTGAAAAGTAAAAACACTGATCACATTTATGTAGGTTGTTCTAATTAACTTTTTTGAAATTTTACTTACATTTTGTATTTGAACCAGTGCCATTGAATGACGAATTTTGAAAACATTAATAGGTTCAAAACGGTTGTATGACATAGGAATTGTCACATTGAATATCATATGCAAATTATAACAAATTTAAATTTTTGACAATACATTTTTCCTTGAAAAAACTATTTAGTTTTATAACCTAGTAATTAAGTTGTTAGTCAACGGCCTCGAGGGTCGATGAAGGAAAATATTAATAAACACCCTTGAGGGGGTTGAACTGATAAGCCGTGACCTACATGATTGACCTCATAGATAACGAATGAATGATTTACTTGCCCAATGTTTCACTGTGATTCGAGAAGCTTGTTTTTATCACAATTGTTGCACCTGATTTTGAGGATCACTACAAATTATTGAACTACAATATGCTGGCTTCCATATTGTTGGTAAAGACTAGACCGTAATAATAAATAATTTCCTTAAAAAAAAAACCATATCAGATTACTAATACCTAATACAAATTATTTAATTTGTACTAATTTGGTATTAGTAATACCTAATACTAATAATGTTGCCATGCTGCACATGGTACAAAGCTTGTAGAAAGGTCCTCGAAACTTCTTATTTTATATGTTTATGGAAAATAAACTATTTAGCAAAACAAAAAGTATAACATTTTTACTTATACGTAATGATCGTAATTATTGTTTAAGTATTTCCAATCTTCTAGTGTTGTAATTATTTTTATCTATAGTTGTACATGGATCTTCTAGAGTTTAATTCGTTTATATTGTTGTGCCATTTTAAAATCTTGCACTCCAATATGAATCTTTAACCACATGTCAAAGGTAGAATGCACCACATTTCAACCAGCTGATCGTAGTTATTAAAAAAGCTGTCATCTCATTCATTAAATAATCATCGGTCACTCTTATCTTAAAGTACCCCCTCTGGTGTGTCGGCGTCGAAATAATTCTACAATAAACAAAAATACAATGCAGAAGTCACCTACCTTGAAAGTCTTGTAGGAGGAGACGACGAAGTATCCTCCGTCGTCCAGTTCGTCCAAGGTGATGATCCGGAGGCCGTCCATGGTAAAGATGAACCTGGCGCCTCGGGGAAGGTCCATCCGGAGCGACAACTTGTCCAGGAGGGCCTCCAGGGAAGTGACGTCACGACCGGGCTTAAACCGGAACTCCAGTCCGGGGAAGTAAGGGTCTCCATTCTTGTAGAAGGTAACCTAATCAAAAGATTTAGGTTAGGTTTTCCAACATTATTTTTTAGGAGTTTTCCTAAATTATGATTTAATGGGATCTAATCGCTATAACCAGCAAACTCTGGCGTTAAACTAGACTTAAAATATAATAAATATTTTCTTCTGGTAAAACAAAAACAATGGAAAGTTTTCGATTCAATCCACTATGAATACTGTAGTATTTTCATTCTACTGCAAAATGTATGCGTATTTTAATAAATTTTTTACGTAAAAAATGCCTGGAAGATTATTGACTTAATACTTATTTTATATTAGGTTAGATTATAGACCTGCGCTTCAGCTCATGGTTGTAATATAAGAAGGAATGCAAATAGGCTACAAATTTACAATTATATCTCTTTGGCATAATTTTGAGTTTGCTAAATACAAATGTAAAATGTAAACATCGACATGGATGTTGACATTGTAAGGGTTACCATCCATTACAGTTTAATAAAATAGTCTTCTGTAGGCACATAAAGATATATCTTTCAGAGAACATTGTTAATCCATTGGCCAGGGCGTTGATGAACTGGCGAACGTATTACTCCATGTTTCGGATGCGTTTCAATGTTGCCATGAAGATTGCTACAACGTATGCGAGACGTTGGTCAGTATTTGCACCAGTTTAACGACACGGTCATTGAAATGCCAATTTTCAACGGTCTATATTGCTTGAAGCCCACCTTCAAGATTATGATCAACACATGGTATAAATATTGACCAAGATTATGTGAATAGCTCCCCAAGAATATATAAATAATATTTTATGATATAACTTACTTTCATAGCTTTCCAGTAATTTTTATGGATTTCTTCTTCTTGTATCCCAAGTTTATTCTTTGAATTATGTGGTGGTAACTTACTTTCCTAGCTCTCCAGTAGTTGAGGTTGTTGTACTTGGCCGAGGTAGACTGTTCCGCTCGGCTCTTAGGACGCGATGGCATCACTGAAGAGATGTCGCTGAGGTCGCCGCCCCCAGGACTGGCGGGGCGACTGCCGGCGCCCCAGTAGCCCCCACCACCTCCTCCACCGGCGCCACCACCTCCGAGGACCGTGCGAGGTCTGGGTAGAGCCTAGATAGAGGGCAAAGTTGCAGGTTATATTGGATTTTGGGGGCTTCAGTGCATTCCTGGGGAGGTGACGCTGAGCTCGGCACCACCGAAGACAGAGGCCAAGTAGCAGAGGCACAGTTTTCAAAACAACATAGCCTACACTAAAGGATATTTCGGGTCGGTATAGCATCTGGAATAGAGGGCAAAGATGCGCACAATCTGGCTGACTTATAAATGTGAAGGTTTCATTGAATTAATGAGTTTATAGACATACCAGGAACAAAAAACCTTGGGCCATTTCGAGCCACGCAGGTTTGAATGGTACGCCACACATACCGGCGCGAACCACGTGATCTTTTCGTTTCTGCGCAGGTTGTTTTGTTCTTGGGATGTCTATAGTAAGTATTAGTATCATAAGCAGATTCCAGTACCACATCCACCAAGTCACACTTGGATTCCGGGAAGAAGATTTTACAAAGCTAATCTGATCGGCTTTTGCGGGGTGCAATGGCATTTTTCAGAACAACCACTATGAGGCGTTTGTAAACTGGCCAGGGACCTAGACTCTGCAATAGAAATTATAAATGAATAACTGAGTGAATATGTATAATACAGTCACAGAAAATTTAGAAAGTAAATATAGTTAGGTTAATTTATTTAATTTAGGTATACAATTTTTGAAGAGATATTAGACAGTTAAAAAGGGTTTACGCATTGAATTCATGTTGGACTAAGACTGCTTATATTGTTACATCTTCAAAACGTATAAAGCATTTTGGCTGTTTTCTAGTTTTTATTCTAAATTATCAGTGATAGTATCGTCGACAGTTTAATATACATAATCGTTTAATTATACAGGAGAGTTTAATATACAATCACGATTTTATATTTAGGCCTACTGTTTATTTTATTCTCACTTACTTGAAAAGTACCTTAATAAGTTAATGCCATTGTTACACTACATTAACTAGACGCTCGATTGCAACAACAACAAACAAATGCAGCCTAACAAAGCTAAATTCACTCCTGGGTTTCCTTTCCTTGAGGTAAAAATAGTAAAGGTCGTCTAAAAGAGCTTCTGGGACCTAGATTCGGAGGTGAAGGAGGCCAAGATTTGGTTTATTGGGAAAGTGTGCGATATAATGGGGGGGGGGGGGAGATGGGAGATACAGCGACCTAGGGGTGGGAGATATAACAACTGGGTCAGTGGAGTACTATTAGCATCTCTAACTCCCCTTTGACTGGGCCTGGTTCCTACACTAGACAATAGTAGTCAATGCATTTGTAAGAGAAAGTTCCGAAACCTGGCTATTATACTATCCTAGGCCCAATTAATGTTAGATATCATGAATAATTGATCTACTATACTCTAGTAAATGTACAAGGTGGTAGGTGGCAAATAAAATATGATACACTGGCTGTATACTCGTATTAAGACCAGTCGTCATCTGATCTTTTCCTGGTCTATTAAATTATAACAAAATAGGGTATGTAATTAATTGGAAACATATTTGGTAAGGTTGGTACACGAATTTTATTTTTTCCTCGTGACACCAACACGTATAGTGAAAAAAATTATTGTAGGTTTTAACAATTTAAAAGTCTAATTGTATATTCGAGCCCAACACCAAATGGCAATTAATTGAGCTGGTCTAGTGGTTAGAACGCGGGACTTCAGTTTCTGAGGTCCCGCGTTCAAGTCCCTCCAAATCACCAATGGATTGTATCTAAGTGATATTGCCACAACCCCTAGGTCTAGCCCGAAGGAATGTGAAAAAAATCCCAGGCTCGTAGCTCCATAGCTCTCTCGTAAGCCTATTGTAATTTATTCCATACGGTAACCACACCAAAAACGAAAATATTACCAAAGTACATCCCCCACCAGACATATGACAGAATGTGCATGGAGGAGGCCAGAGTACCCTTAAGTCGGAGAATCAGTTTTAATTTAGATAATTCCAAAAACCTAATTCCCCCCCTCGAGTTTCAACCTAATGAACAGAGACGAGTAGGTGTGTTTACCCCCCCCCCCCATGACAAGGGGGGTTGTTCGGGGGGGGGGAAGCGTGCCATAGACCACTCTTGTACACGGCTCTCACACGCTATATGTTAATTGGGTTACCGCATACTTCACAGCACCGCAAAAACTTTCCACCTTGATTTACTTTCCGGCACTTCTTATTCATTTTATCACCTTCGTCGGCCCAGTTTCTACCACACGTGGCTTCCTAGACTCAAATTAACGGGTTTAAAAAGTCAGCTTTAGGTTTTGACAATAATTTTATGTGTCAGTGTTGTTAATTTTTACTTTTTGTTAATTAATTCCTAGAAATGGTGAGTTGTATGGTGATTTTTTGTATTTTTTGATTTAAATATAACAGTGATTCAATCTCTGTTTGATATTGTGAGATTTTTATTGTTGTTCATGATGTGGTTATTCATCTACTGTCGTAATAATTTATGACGGAATTGAAAATAATATTTTGTGTACGATACTATTTTTGGATTTACTATAAAAGAAAACACTTTCGAATTATTTGAAATCCAAACCAGGCGCAATAATAGTGTAACGAAATTTGGGTCAATCCGTCCAAATTGTATTTTCAATGATTTCTCCACAGTCAAAATACAAATACAATTGTTAATGTTTATTTTCAAATGTTTTTTTGACAGAACAATAAAAAGTCTTTATTTGTTCATTTCTATATTGTTAATCCTAGTTACATTCATTCGCACAATCACCCATTCAGTAGTTAATAAATTCTCTAGTCATACATCAATTATTTCGCAAATCCGTCCCATCCCTCTACTGTATTTTCTCTGACATCAATTTATACGCTAATTCATGGATTCCACTATAAACTGTAGGTCCCTTAGTTGCTATTAGCTGTATGGGCTATTGATTAAAAGCTGTGTCTAAGGTATATGTTGGTCTTAGTCACTAACAAGACTACAAGATAGCTACAAGTACTACAAGACTACAAGTACGCTCCACTCATCCTACAGTCATCTCCATTCATACTTGGCTTAAACCTACTAGTACATTAGTATTGTCACCATTTCAGATTAAAATATTAAAAATATATTTGTCTAGTTATACTTTAATCGATGATCATACGTTTTGTTAGTGGTGATGCCAGCAGAGTGTGTAAGATCACATAATTTTACTAGCTAAACAAGTCCAATTTTCCTTAAGCTTGTTTAGATGTGTCCGGTATTTAACTCACCACGGTCGCAACACCAAAAATTGAGTAAAGAATCCAAAAATTTCTACAAAATCTAAAACTAAAGTTACTAATTAATTGTTACTTAATTGTTCTACTTACGGATCTAATTGTTCTACTTACGGATCTAATTAGTTTTTGAAAATATCATTTTGTTTAAATTATCCTAGCCATATGCGTTTTTATGGTATAAAAATTAACAAAATTAGAATTTAGTAAATAGTTAATAGTTAAAACCTAAAACTAGTTAAACTATATTAAACCATGGATATGAATGTTAAATGGTATTGTTAAAATATAGGCATTTAAATATTTAGATACATTATAGAGTAATATTTATTTTTTTTTCGGGGGGGGGGATAATACCTCCAAAAATGTTTGGATTAGTTTTGAAAATGCTAGATTGTCCTCCAATTCAATATAGACTATGAGCGACGCCCCATTCATTCCAAATCCACATTTTCTCCTTCTAGGATCTTTTAATATCAAGTGTCAATAGATTTTACCGTTAGACAGTTAGAGGATCCAACCTCAACTAATAAAATTGCATTGTTATTGCTCCATAAAGTGTGTTAAGATTTTGATGAAACTTCTCCGTAAAAGAGTTCAGGGGTGTAGTACTTTCTAACCACCCTGTATTAGCGTGTTGCTAAGGCAGCGCCTTACGTGTTGTTTCTGCACTATTTTATATGCTAATTTTATTGACCACCGGTCAGTAGAACCTGAACTGTTCAAGGCTTGTCTGGACGACATTGCATCTTGACCTTAGAACACTTTAGTTGTGCGTGCTGCAATATATTTATTCATATCCTTACAAGATTTTAGTAATAAACTACTTCGTTATCGTGAAAAATCATTATTGAGGTTGTTCGGATAATTTTAACTTTCTTACAATTTTTAGAGGGCAAGGAAGGTTTGTTTACGTATTTTAGAAAATCATGTAAATGCACATTTGTGTTGCTAAAACATGACTTCCCCCTTAGTATAAAGCGGAAAATCCAATCTTGGTTGGTCAAGCCTAAATCTTTTCAAATGACCTTGTCTTTATTTCATAAAACAATAATCAATAAAATAATAATTATTTGATCATTCATTACGTTAGTTTAAGTGAAAAGTGTTTATCCAAAGGCTTATTTATATTATAAAACAAGGGATGAGACTCTACTTATAAATGTTTGTCTAAAACGTAATTGATATTTTTCTCAACTATTCTTGTCTTGTTAGTTTGAGTTAGATGAATGATAAAGTGAATAAAATATTTAGAAAACCACTGGAGAATGATTACAGTTTGAAAAAAAAAATAGATATAGATATAGATGCAAAATCGTTCAAATATCTTTATAAAAATGGTGTATGATTAATAGGTCTGATTATGCTAATTGATTAATAGAGATGCATAAATTAGTAACTGATAAAAGCATACACTAGCAAGCTGAATTCACCGGATTAATTTTAATTCTTCAACTGGCTATGACATTATATTAGACATTGGATATCTAGCACATTCTAAATTCAAAGCTTATTCTAGGCTCACCACAGGGGAAGATGCTGCTAACATACTTATTCCTTCACTGTTCACTTATGAGTAACAGCTGTAGCTCATCGTCTGTCTATCTCAGGGAGGATCCACCCTTCCGGTCGTGCCAAACTAATGTGTGCTAAGGTTACACCTTTATTTGCACCTACTTACTATGCACTTTGCAAATCTTAGGAATCTAAATACTAAGACTCTCAAGTTATTTTGAGTTATACTAAGAAATTATACTTTGTATTTGTCTTTGTTTTTAATAAATGTGACAGGGATCTTTTGCTATTTTTATGAACACGAATACGTTGTCTATGCCTTTAAATTCTATTAGATTTTATTCAAGAAAGTGATAGTCAGAGAGCAGGATCTCTAACCTGAGGGAACGGGTTCAAATACTGTAAGTAAACAATGTATTTTATCTAATTGATGATGCTCAATTGATTGGAGTCCAAAAAAGGACGACTCTTTTCAGCATTGAAGCTCTACCGCTACTAAGAGTCATATTACATCTAATTATCCATATATAAATCCCAAAGTACCCATGAACCTTTGGGAAAACTACAAGTCACACCTACAAACTACAGTCGTAATTCTTTTCTAAAGGGAACTTTCTATATAGGCCTACCTAATCTTAAAAATACCTCAACTGTACTTATTGTTATGTTATTCATACAATTTATTACCTTAAAATCAGGTAAGATTATTTTTTTGTATTTCTGTATTCTGTTTTGTTTATTTCAGCTTAACTTAACCAATCAATAGTTTTATTAATACTTATGAAGTCAAATGGGGTGAAGCCCGTGGGTAACAGCTAGTTTAAGATAACATAAAAATAAATGGTCTCTCGAATATTACAAAACACCAACGTTTCATTAACTGGATTTATAAAAACTAAATAAAGTACAAGTGTATTATAAATCATCGTGTTTAGGTAATCTGGAGATATTTCTATGCAAGATGTCCTGGAACTATCTACCAATGTTTTAGGGAATTTTTTCTGGGTAATAAACATATCTAAATATCATATTAACATTTTCCGTAGTCCTTAGTTACTCACACAGCCACTATATTGTATTTTCACTTATTAATTTTGTTTGAAAAGTGGTAAAACATAAAAACTGAATCTTTGCACAAACATTAATGACAACTAAACAAAGCTACAAAACAATTATGACAATTTCCAAATTCATAAACAAAATGCCGGCCATTTATAATTTTGTTTCTTAAATAACTCGAAAACCGTTGATGATACAACCATTTTACAGGCTGATTTTTTTAAGGCAATTTAAAAACAAATCGATTGACATCTTACTTATTAAGATTAGACGAATATCAACTGAGATATGGCAGCTTTTAGTGATGCGAAACCGCATGCCTCGGTATGCACTGCAACTAACCTCCAGCGGTCACGTATCAATACAGCTGCCATTCGTCCAATCTTAAAAATAAGCTGTCAATCGATTTTTAGTTCAATTGCTTTAAAAAAGTTATTCTTGTAAACTTTTTGTAAAATTAACGGTTTTTGATTTATTTAAGAAACAAAAATTGTAAATGATCGACATTTTCTTTTGTAAATTTGACATTTTTTCATAATTCTTTTGTGGCTTTGACTAGTTGCCCTAAGCAAACTATGTATGTTGTTATGTTTGTGCAAAGTTTCAATTTCGTATAGCAAACTACTTTCCAGAAAATACTTAAGTGGAAAACAAAATGGCGGCTGTGTGAGTAACTAAGGACAACTTAAAATGTGATATTTAGATATGTTTCTTAACCAGGAACAATGACCTAAAATATTGGTAGGGAGTTACGTGACACCCTGTATATCCTTGAACACATTTTATTGAGCTTGTTACCATTGGCTATACGTATAGTCAATGTTGTTACGCATGATCCAAGCTTAAAACCATCGTACAGTAGTTATTTTTCAGAGATTAATTAATTGTTTTATTAAGGTAAGAGTCACATTTTTTGTCAGACTTTGAACTAAGATAGCCTATAATATGATATGATAGCGTATGACTATTCTTCACATCTCCTTAAAAATTTGAGTTCGGACCTAACTATTTAGTTTTTCATTAAATAGTTTCTTGTTTTTTCAGCCAACAAGCTTTTAAGCACAAACAAGAGCTGTGTACTTTTAGGTTCAAGAAGCAAATACGGGTTCCATAATAAGTCGTATTACATAATTTAATGATTGCTATTGAAGGATTGTTATGTATGTTCTTCAATAATATTCCTAATTAGGGCCCGTTACACTATCAAGATTATATTAACACCAATATTACTGACAATAACATTGAAAGGCATAATTTATGGTGGATTTCAAGAAATGTAGGTATTTTTCAATACAAATCATCAGTGTTACCCTATATGTCGCAAAATTAGTATAAATTATGATAACTTAAATTGGCATTAATATTGATAGTTTAAAGGCCTCTAATTATTTAACGCATATTTTCCTAATGAAAAAATATATTGTTATTTAGTTAATTTTCAAATCTTTTTTGTTATTTTATCCATGTTTTGCCGTCGTCGGCAATTCTATTCAATTTTATTCATGTACTCGTCGGTCTTTTTTGTCGTCGTCGAATACATGTGAACTTCGACGACGACCAATGCTATCAACAGTAATTTAACAAGACAGAAGATTTGACAATGGGGCTGTTTGCCCCGAAACTATAGTCATCTTAAAAGAAGACTTGGATTGAAGACGTAAATAAGGTATTTAACCTATTATTATTATTATATTTTATGTTATTTTATTGTACACGATGTTGTTCTACCAAAAAATTAAAACATAACCTAGCTTAAAACTATTTTATCAAGCAAGAGAGTATGATAGAGTCAATACAAGGGCTTATTTTTTTATACTGTTGACCTTTTATGAAAAATTTATCCTCTTAGGTTTAAAATTTGGTATCATAAAAATGTTGTTTTTAGTTAATTACGTTTTTATTTATAATATGTAAGGATTATGGTATTACTTCAGTTTAATATCAATAAAATTATGCTAAAAAATGTTCTGTGCCAGAACTGAGAAGCGAGTGGTATTTAGGTGAATAAAACAGTTGATTTAAATTCCAATGAACCATATGAAGCAAATAATATAATAAAGGCTTTCTAAAAACATATTTACCGCTATACAAAAATATCAAACAATAATAGAAAAACGATGGATACAGTTCCAAATTCGTGATTTGATTTTTAAATTACCAACGTATCGATAAGAAACTTTAACCGTAATGTATTACAATAAACCTAAACCCTAAGCTAGTTTAAACAGTTAAAAAGACAATATTAAATTTTATTGGAAAATATAATTCCAATAACAATTTTTATTAAAGCATCTCTGCATGATTTTCCTCTAAGTATAATGAGAGCAATCTGTCACATTCTGCAAATACAAAATCAATTAAAGGTTAAGTTTTAAATACCTACTTTAATAGAGAATTATTTTAAAAACATTTTATTGTGTAAGCTACGTAGTCAAAGTACCTGACCTTACCCAACTCAGAGCAAGTTGTTTGGACTCGACCACGTGCGCATTGGTGACGTCATTGACCTAGTTAAGCTAACTAGTGTTACACTAATAACATTGTAGTTACACTCCGAGTGTCGTCAATGTTTATAGTTTAAACAACTTTATTGGATACAAAACATGGTTGTCCATCTATCTAAAGACCGAAAGTTAAAATCCACCTTTTAAAAATTTTGAGAAAATTACGAAACATACTAGTGTGCTAATTATGGTAACTATTTTAACTTATATCATTGACTAAACCCCCTTTTAGATAACGAGAAAAAATTTAATCCATATGGAAAAGCTGTAGTCATTATTCTGATATAACATAGTCGAATGAGCCCCTCACTCAATAAGCAATTAAAATTAAGTATTTTGCTCTTTCAGCTTTAAGTTATATGATAGTTGAACATTTAATGGTGATATAGTTTACAAGCGTATGGTAGTTAGTAGCCACTGACCAAGTTACATTTCCACCTCTATAGTCTGTAGGATAAAAGGTGTTTAAAAAAATCGACCTTTCAATTTTGCTAGGTTTAAAAGTATATATATATATATTCAATGAGAAATAAGTAACTAACTGTTAGTAGAACTCTGTGTCGAATCTGTTACGTTTTTTTTTCATTGTAAAACTGGTTATTTTACAATTAATTGTTATGGGAAAACATACATCCGTTATCAAAAAACTTGATTCAACAGTCTAAAAAATTAAAGCTAGAAATTAACGTTTTATGAATTTATAACGTTTAAAGCAAAAAATTTATATACAAGTAAATCCGAAACTCACCCTTTGGAAACCAAAACCTCACGAACTTGTTCTAACATGCAACACACACCGCACAAATACAAAGAGGATCCAAATACCTCCTCGTCATTGGAATCTTCAACATCATCAGTGTCACTCTTGTTGCCGCCGCCGCCGCTGAGCTGCGCCACCGTCTCGCCGGCCGCCATGTTGGTTTCGCCGCCCCCAGGATCTGCCACCTCCGCCGCCTCCGCCTCGTACTGACTCTGTCTGGAGGCGGCCCGCGAGCTCGGCTGTACGGCTACTTCCGGTGCTAGCATGACGGCTGTCGGACTTCCGGTACGGGTGCCCTTGAATATCTCTTGGGACTGCTGAAATGAGGAATAATTAGTTAGTATTGATGTTGCGAGGTTGGGGTGGATAGTTCTTAGTGCGATATGAATTTTGGAAATATATGATCAACTGTTAACCTGAAACGAGTTAACGCTTTTAAATTATATTAAAATTAATTTGGGTTTTAATTTAAGTCCGTTTTTGCGTGAACAAAGAAGGCCAAGAAGGATAAGCCACTATCCATAAAACCACAGACTACCGAACTCTGTTTTCGAACATCAAAATACATGTTAAACATGTAATACAATGTCCCAACGAAATAAAATCAATGACACGTCACTTTTCAGTTATCTTTTTACAAGTTGATTGCGATGACTGCCTATGGATATTAAAATTCAACCCTCTCTCTCGGATTTACACTCATACCACTGACTTTTGGAGGCTATAGGGTATACTCTCTACATGAGCAAGCTGTAATGAAATAGTCGACCAAAATAAACCTATTAAATTTTCAAGGTCATAAATTAACATATACAACCATCCTTATGTAACCAAACAGGGAGCACAATAAAATAACTATGAACTAATGATGAATAACCACCATAGTGGACTTTGAAAAATGTCATTATGTTGAAAACAGTCAAACAACAGAAAGAAGGGGTACAGTTTCTTAACTGGGCTACGCTAATATTGGTTTAAACTATCGAATTGAAAATATTGATTAATAATCCATATTTTAAAATATAACTATTATAAAATTAACCTAACCTAACCAACCAAACTTGCTGATGGTGAAAAAACCCCATGAAGGTTTACTAATCGAGTCGAAAGTTTCAATCAATATTAGCGTAGCCCAGTTAGGAAACTGTACCCGAAAGAAGAGCTTGTAGTAAAACATGATTGGATTATAGACGGATAAGCATATACTTGAAATATGCTTATATATGAAATATCTACCCCGGGTTTGCGTCATTATATTTTTTTGACAAATCCTTCAAAATGAGATGTCACTCAATAGGGGAGACTGTTGTACCTTGATAATAGTGTACCTTGGATCACCCTTCAGTTTATTGACAGGTGCTACCATCTGTGCCCTAATAACTATAGTAGTTCAATGATCACCCACTAGAGTGCAGCAGGTGCCTGAGTTTGGTTGCTAAAGTGGTGTTGTTTTGAAGTGAGACATAAAATTAGTTTTATAGTGCTAAAAGTAGTAAATTTTGTTTCCAAAATTTATTTTTTATCTCCAGTTATGAGCTAAGAAGACTTTAAAATCATAGTCCTGCAGAATCACAACTTAGTCATGAGTATTTTGATATGTCATATTTCACGTTTGAACATAACCTAGAAAGTACACGAGGCTAAGACTTGAAATGAGCACCATCGTGTACCTTGGATCAAAACGTACCATTGATCACTGAATCCGCTGAGGTGTTTGATGTAGTTGCAGAAGATATTTTAGCGAAACTGCCAAACCCAGTAGAATTAAGTGGTTCAGCTAGAACTGAAGGACAGTTGTGGTTGCAGGTTGACTTTTCCAACTTTAACGTTAAATGAACTGTAACTTAAAATCGAACCAACTTGAAATGTAATTTTTTATAAAAAGCAGGTTTAATATATTTGTATGTCTAGTTTTATTTCTACTAAAATAAATACTGACACTTTTCTTTGCATAAACATGTCTTTAACCTAATTTATTTACCTCATAAGGTACACAACGTCAATGATCCAAGGTACACTAGGCTGTGATCAATGGTACATGATGGTCTTGTACCATTGATCACTAATCAGTTAACTATAAATATATGTTTTATTCAAAACTGTTTAGCAATAAAATTATTAAATAAATATATAATTTACAGGAATGCCGGTTCTTCATTATGGAACTGTTTCTGTTGTTATATCTCTTAACCAACCTTTTTTAAAAAATAAAATTACAAGGTACAACAGTCTCCCCTAAGGGTTGCTATTTGAAAAAAAATAAGTCACCCCGTACCATGTTAGGGGGGTTACAAAATATTTTTGCTGTAAAAATACGGGTCCTTCGTTAACAATCAACGCCACAAACAGAATATTTCTATCTATTTCGGTTTAAAAAATACAGATTTGTTTAAAGACTTAATTTACAAACTATATAAATCCATCAATGTACCTATGTGCCTAAGCCTAACCTAAAAATCAACCTAGCCTAAATATTTTATTCAATAATCGTTGTTGAAAATCCTAGATTTTTAAACGGATGACAACCCAACACAACTATGCCTTACGAATTTTACGTAGTACTTTACTTTTGTAAATGAAATTACTCTAAATACATGTTAATCATTTAACTACTTTGAGTATTGTTTAAGGTACATGCTGGTTGTAAACTGTTAAGTGAGGCAATCAATCGTTTAAGAATAAAAACGTACACACTATAAATGTACTTCTTCGTCAATATATTTACAAACAAAATACAGTTTTTACATTAATGTAAATGTGTATCCAAAGCATTTGTTAATATCTTATTAGTATCGGTATATAGAAACTCATAACATGTTACCATATCATATTTAAAAAAATTAAATTAAAATATTTGTGAACAGAATATGTTCTTTTATAATAATAATAATAATAATGATAACAATAAATTAATGACAATAAAAAGGCTGCTCTAATTTAAACAAAATGTACTATATTATTAAACTATAACCACATGTTTGTTTGTGTAAAAGGAAACACATTGTTACAAGTAGTTCAATTACAATCCGCTTCTTTCGTTAAGCAGCACTTGACATAGCTTCGTTCCTCCTACCACCCACCCTAACAACAACAATGTAACTAACAATTGAAACGTTCCACAAGTTCACCAATTCGCCACTACGAAGCAGCACTGTGTAAAGCGCATCTCTGTGACTAACTTAGAACTCAAATTCCATCTGCCAAAGTGTAAGCTCAATTTAAACGAAATCACTGTAAAAGTCTTTCTGAGAGTACATAGTACTTATAAAAATCCAAGTAAAGTCAGAAAAACATAAAGAACATTTGCTCGATTCATGTTTGGTATCAAACAATCTTTTGTTTTAATTAAATGTGAGAACCTGCAATGAAAACAAATACTCACATACAATCAAGCCATTGATTTTTTCATAAATATTATCAAAAGCTAATAACTTAAATAACATTTGAGTTCCGTATCATTGATTGCAGATAAGTACTACGATTATAATTATTGTTGATTCGTGATTCAGCAGTGTGCTTTAGGTAGGATTATTAAGATCGGAATCTTAATAATCAATCGCTCAAATGAAAGCTGGTATTTCACTAAAGGTTTTTAGACCAAAACATATAGGGTAACGTAATTAGAACTGCTGGAATACATCTTTAATTAAAGTAATAAATAAATAAATTAAATTAATATTTTTTCGTTGAGTAATACATTAGGTAAATTAATAATGATGCTTGATGACAAATATGTGCTTGCATAGCTTTATTTTAAGACCAAAATTATGAAAATTGGGCTGGTAGAAGAGCCAAACGAGCTCGAAAAAAAACAAATTTAACTCCCATAAGAAATGTACAGGGACGCATTTTGTGCATAACTCGAAATATACGTAAAAATGAATGCCGATGATTGATCAAATCATCAAACTGAGCAAGACTGTGGTGCATCCATACCTTTAGTATAAGGCCAAAATTATGAAAATCGGTCGGGTAGAAGACCTTTGATTAGACTCAGAAAAGAAAAACCAATAATGTTTATAGATGGCAATAATTGGTTTACCATTATGCATAATCTAAACATACAAAACATGTGTTAATAATTTAACAGCTTATTGTTATATTGTTATTTAATTGATTTTTCTTTGATTAAATGTTGTTGTTAACAATTTTCATTTGTGTTTAAAGCGAGTTCCTTATGTTAAGTATGCGATTCTAATGATATGTGCTTAATCTGTACCATTAATATTAGTGAGTAAAGGGGTGTATGGATTTGACAACCACTATTTACTGGAGACCGTTGTATTTACCCACAACGGGCTCTGATTCTAGTATATAAATAAAGATGAATATTTACGATTAAATAATTACTATGTACATTTAAAAACATGTATCACAAAAATTGACATAAACATTGATAAAAAAAAAAACAGATCAAATACGATGATATACAAAATTAAATTGTGGAAAAGATATATTTACAGTTGATAACAAAGCAAAAACTCATAAAATATACGAAAAAATGGAAAATACGACAAACTGTATGCTTACAAAGATTTTACAAACAAACTATATTACAAATAACTAAAAACTATAATTACATACTCTATTCCCCTCGACTAAACCTTTCTGGGTAAGGAAACATTTGATACACATTTTAAAAAAGGGACCAGGTCGATCCAGGGTCGATCTCCCCTGTTGAAAGAGATTCTATCTTTTTGTCGATGAAGTATTTCATTGCCACAGTCTTCTTTTTCCTCCACGTTCCTTCTCTACCCTTAACATTTGATTTTGAACATAAATGTCCCTACTAACTTTGCTTATTACAGTACTACCTCTTGTACTCCACTTTGTTTACTTCTCTCATAGATGTTTAAAGGTATATTTATCCACTTCCCCTTAAGGTGGGTGAGTGCTTCAAAACCCCAAATTCGCAACATTCTTTGATGCCGAGAGCGCTGCAAGTATTTGCTGTTGTTGACGTGTAGAGTGAAGTGATGCATTGTTTAGAGCTTTGCGATGGGATGATGACCTGGCGAGGGAATTCCAAAATTCGCACCATTCATTGCCGAGGTCAGGACTGCAAGTATT